AGCCATACAGAGGCTGTTTTGGATTCCATCGGTGAAATTGGGGTGTTGACAGGTTTAGATGAATCAATACCTGCTGAGTGAATGATATCCCTGGCATAATGTGACTGGTGAAGAAACAGGCCAGTAGTTGTTTTCTGAATTTGAATGCCAAGGAAGAGATCTATGTTCTGCATTTGTTTCAGACTGAACGTTTGTTGGAGCTGGGTTAGTAATCTCTGCATTGTGGGTGGATTATTGTCTGAGAGTAGAATGTCATCCACGTATGCTAATAGATAGAGAGTAGATCCCTTTTGATTGTAAAGCAGCAATGACGAGTCTACTTTGCTGAATTGGAAGCCGAAGGAGATGAGAAAAGATGTCAATTTGTGAAACCATTGCCGTGGGGCTTGCTTCAGCCCATAGATAGCCTTCTCGAGTTTGCAGACGTGATGAGGGAGCTTAGGATCAATGAAGCCTTGAGGTTGAAGCATGTAGACATCTTCTTGAAGATCACTATGGAGGAAGGCATTGTTGATGTCAAGTTGGTGAATGGGCTAGCCTCGGTGAAGAGTAATGATGATCAGTATACGGATGGTCGGAATTTTAGCTACAGGACTGAATGTTTGCTGATAGTTTATGCCTTGCTGTTGTTTGAAGCCCTGAGCTACAAGCCTGGCTTTGTAGCGGGCAATGCTGCCGTCCGGGTTGAGTTTAGTTTGGTAAGTCCATTTACAGCCAAGGACTGGAGTGTCTTTAGGTGGTGGAGTGAGCCGCCAGGTGCCCTATTTTTGAAGAGCCATGAATTCAACTGGCATTGCTTGACGCCAGTGGGGAAGTTGTACTGCAGCAGTATAGCTGGTCGAAGTAGGATTGTTTTTAGATACAACAAGTAGATCAAAGATTTTTCGTGGTTTGAGGTGGCCAGTTTGAAAGCGAGTTAACATGTGATGTGTAGGCGCGGGAAGAGGAGAATTTGAAATTTGAAGCGGTGGAGAGTTGTGGGATGAGGTGACTGGTTGTGAAATGGTCGATTCATGAGGGACAGTGAGGGAGGAGTTTGTCGGGTTTGTAGGGGGGACGAGAGAGGATAATTGTGAAGGAACTGGTGTTGGGATAAGGAGAAGAGGAGGAGTTTTAGGTGGGGTTGACGGAGGTGTAGACTGAGTCGATGATGTGAATGGAAACTGTTGTTCATCGAAAGAGACATGTCTGGATATGTGAAGCTTCTGGTTTTGGGGATTATACCATCTTTAGCCCTTGTGTGAGATTGAGTAACCAAGGAAGATGCAGGGGTGAGATCTTGGTTCAAGTTTGTGTGAGGTTTGTGGTTTCAGCCAAGGAAAAACACAGACACCCGAAGACTTTGAGGTGGTTGTAGGAGGGAGGTTTGTTATGCAGGAGTTGATAGGGTATAGAATTATGAAGTGCTGAGGTGGGAAGTCTGTTGATTAGGTAGTTTGCTGTTTGAACAGCTTCTGCCCAGAAGGCGGCTGGTAGGGAGGAAGCATGCAGGAGAATGCGAGTCATCTCAAGGAGATGCCGATGTTTTCTTTCTAAGACACTGTTCTGCTCAGTGGTGTAGGGACAACAGAACTCGTGATGGATTCTCTGATTGAGAAGAAAGGTTTTGAGATCATGGCCTGTGTATTCGCCACCTCCATCAGAACATAAGCGTTTAATGTTTGCATTAAATTGAGTTCGGATTAAATGGTAGAATTGCTGAAACTTGAGAGAGGTTTCATTTTTTGTATGCATTAAGTACAACCAACAAAAATGTGTACAGTCGTCAATGAACACTATATAATAGCCAGAACCTGAGAGAGATGAGATTGGAGAGGGACCCCAAACATCAGTATTAAACTAAAAGGAGTAGTTACATGAGTAGTTGTTTTAGGAAATGATAGTTTATGGCTTTTATCCACTTTACAAGAAGTGCAAGAGAAATCTAGTAGCTTAGTATTGCTGGAAGGTAGAAGGCTGGATAACTTGGCCATCGCACAGAAGTGAGGGTGACCCAGGCGAGCATGCAAAGAGCAGTTGAATCGCGTTTGGTGTGAAGAGCACGAATGGATGTGGAGTGAGGGAGCCGAATTGGATTGATCCCATCCTGATTAAGGCCATGGAGCAGTGTTATGTTGTCCTGTAGATCCTTAAGAGTGAAACCAGTGGAGTCGAATAAGATGGAGCAGTTATTGTCTTTTGTTAGCTTAGAGATGGAAAGTAAGTTGTGAGCAAGAGAAGGAACGTGAAGTAGATTGTGCAATTTTAGCTTACGAGAAGAATCATGGAGAGGTAGGAGAACAGATCCTAAGTGATGAATGGGTATAGATGACCCACTTGATGTAGAGATTGAGTCCTATCCATGATAGGGAGCTGGATACTGCAGATTAGCAATGTCTGGTGTCAAATGTGCTGATGCTCTTAAGTCGAGCGCCCAGTCAGATGCTGTAGAGGAGTTGTTAGTCGGCATTTGGGTGAGCAGAGCTCGATTTGCACATGGCGCCGGAGTGTAGGTGGAATTGTATCGATGCCAGCAGACCGTGGCAAGATGACCAGATTTACTAAAAATTTGGCATACAGGTCGTTCAGTAGTTCTGGGCGCATTGAAGTTGGCTCTGGTTGGTGAGTTATTTGAATTGAATGGAGCTCCTCTTCCCCTGTTTCCTCAGGTGCTGACATTGCGGCCTCTTCCTCTGGAGGTATAAAGAGCCTGTTGGTCGGAGGAGGGGGTGAGATCTTGCTGCATCTCATTTTGCAGATTAATCTCTTCACTGCGGAGCAGTGAATAGAGAGATTCAAGAGTGACAAGTAGGGGAGAAATTCTAATGGCTGCTTTGAACGGGTTGTATGAGGCTGGCAGACCTTTGAGAGTGTATAGGATAATGTCCTCTATTTCTATGTGGCTTCCCGCAGCTGCAATGTTATCCACAAGGGATTTAATTTTGGCTAGATACTGCGAGATGGTATGGTCTTTCATCTGAACATTAGGCAGCTCATTTTTCAGCTGAAGGACCTGAGATCTGTTGGTTGGCTGCAGTTGCAATTCCAGGGCCGTCCATATCTCGTTGGATGTCCTGAGATGCAGGATGTATGGAAGCATTGAGGCGGAGATGGTTGAGAAGAGAGTTGATACAAGATTTTGATCCACAAGCTTCCAAAATTTGTAATATGCATCGTTGCCATCGACTGGAGTGGGTGGGCAAGGTAGCGAGCCGGTGATGTAGCAGTCAAAACCGTTGGCCGTAAAAGCTTGGTAAATCTGTAACCTCCATATTTATCAATGGTGAGTTGAGTATGCACAATGGCTTTGAGGTTGGATATTAGGAATTTTAGGGAGGGAGGGATGACTGTGGTCACCATTGTTGAGGCCAGAGTAGAAGTTGTTATGGAATGGGAAGAGGAGTTCTGTTCCGTCATTGTCGCCGGAGTGAGAAGATGAGCCCAGATTCACTGCTCTGATACCATGAAGAAGAACCTGCAAAGGTTAGCGAAGAGATAAACAAAAGTAAAACAACAGAAAGAAGTTCTTGGAGAGTATTGCATTTTCATTGTATTCTTGATTTCCAGTTACAGTGGGTTATATAGAATTGGTTTGATAAGGTTGTTGGGTTGACAATGGTCGTTAGGATCCGGTGGTAGGCACAGATGTCAGGCGTTCGTGGAAATCATTTCCCTGAGTATGTTGTATCGCCGGTGCACTTTATGTTGTGCTAACAGTACCAAAAAATCGACTCCTAAATTCGGAAATACGTATTTTTCCAACAATACGTCTACGTTCCTTCAGTTTCTTACGAACATTATTTTGTCCCTCTCTCTCTCTCTCTCTGAAAGTTATAAAAAAAAACGTCAATTTTAAAACGCAGGACGCTGCGGAGAAAGCAGAGACTTGGATTCCCTTTTTTATTTTTCTCTTCAACGGCGTGCGTATGAGCCAAAGCTGTCTTCATCTTTGGAAAAAGATCGACAGACTTACATAAAAAGGAGCTTCTTTTAAGTTTTTAGCCGAAGTTCAGGCACCAAAAAACCCCTTCCAACTCGCTAGTAAAAGGTGCCGATTTGTTAATCTTTATTGATTTTATTTGTGGTTTTTTGTTCTTTTGGGAAATGACCTGGAGGCGACGGCTGATTTTGTTTGACCACGGGAGTTTTGCCTTTTCATTGTCTTTTTTTTTTTTTTTTAAGTTTTGAAGATCTCCGTGAAGATTTAATGGTTTAGGCTGTTTTTTGGTGCTACTGGGGTATTCTTAGCATTTCTACATGATCGTCTTTCTGTTTTATTTTGTGTTTTAGCTAGAAAGTTTACCTTTTTTTCTATATTCAGAACCCTAGGAGCATCCCTCCAAACTCATCTTCTTCCTTTTCATTGCCATTTGAAGTAATTGTTATGGAAGAATTATATTTTATTTTTGCCGCTAGTTTCTTTTTTAACGGCCGGATTTTTTAATTTTACACTGGCTTTTTAATTTTAGTACATCCCGTCCACATAAATTGAGCTTTTTTTTGTTTGCCCATTCCTGAATAGTATGAGCCAAAAAAAAGTTTAATTTTTGTGGACAGCTTCTGTTTATCCATTCGGGGCCTGTGGTACGGATGGGAAAAAGTTTGGCGCAAGATATCTTCAGATGGGTACATAGAATTTATTTTGAGATAAATAAAATTAAAATTTTGTATTTTACTCATTTCAAATCTCCAGATCAAAATTTTGGTTCTAAATTTTTCCTTATTTTTATGCATCCCTCCACCTTTCAGTTGGTTGTTGTTGCCTCTTTTTGATTGAAGAGGTATTTAGCTTCAGTTTTCAGTTTTCAGTTTTGTAACGGTTATTTTTTAGCAGATTGCTGTATGATAGGGGATTCAGTCGTATTTTATGCTCATTTTTTTAATCAAGCTGTTCTAATTTGCTTGATTTGAGCAAATGATAAATTGGTTCCTTTTTTTTCTTTCTGTTCATTTGTTCTCTGGTACTGAAATATGTAATTATTTTTCAGGCAATTGTTGGTGTCTTGCAAGAAGGCTGAACAATGGGTGAAGTAGGGCCAACTATCGCGAAGGATGTCACTGAAGTAGGTTTCTGAAATTATTTGGTCTCATTGATCTTCTCATTTTCTTTGTTATTAAATACTAATGACCATTTTTGTATTGGTTTTTGTCATTATAAAGTTGATTGGTAAAACTCCTTTGGTGTATCTCAACACTCTTACCAATGGCTGCCATGCTCGCGTTGCTGCTAAATTAGAGATGATGGAGCCATGTTCTAGTGTCAAGGATAGGTAAAGCTCCTGCCTTCTTTTTCAAATTTCATTACCCAGGTAAGACAATTTGGTAATATCTCTGCAAATCTCAATCGATTGGATTTCTATGGTAGGATTGGATATAGCATGATTGCTGATGCAGAGGAGAAGGGTCATATTGCACCAGGAAAGGTACATTGAACATGGAAATGCTATGGTTTTTTTCTGTTTTGGGTGATAGGACTGTAACTTCAACAGAAAAGCGATTCTTAGTTAATGGAGTTGGTCTCTGGAGAATTTATTGGCCACTTGTTAAATTTACATTTATATGATCCTATGCTGCTGTGGAAGGACTGACAGCTCAAAGTATTTTCTAATGACTACTGGATGATTATTGATGTGGTCGTTTGTTTTAATATGCTGGCAGAGTGTCCTTATTGAACCTACCAGCGGCAACACTGGTATCGGCTTAGCGTTCATGGCAGCTGCTAAAGGATATAAGCTTGTACTCACAATGCCAGCTTCCATGAGCCTTGAGAGAAGGATCATTCTTAAAGCTTTTGGTGCTGAATTGGTCCTGACTGACCCTGTCTTAGGCATGAAAGGCGCTGTTCAAAAGGCAGAAGAGTTGGCTTCCAAGACTCCCAATTCCTACATTCTTCAGCAGTTTGAGAATCCTGCTAACCCCAAGGTACATTTGGACTTCTATCTTTGGGGAATGCTATGGAGATTTTCTGATTAAAATTGGTTTAGTAGATATATCAGCATACCATTAGCCTTATCACAATAATTTTCGCCTTCGGTTAACTTTATGAATGCTTGTTCTCTTTTTATTTCTATTGAGTGCTGCATGAGGTGTGAAATCTATTCTATTCAATTTTTTTTGCTTAATTATTATCCATGTATACCTTACATCTTATGATGGATGACTCATCTTAATTAAAATATGATTAGATTCATTATGATACAACTGGGCCTGAGATCTGGAAAGGTACTGATGGTAAAATTGATGCATTCGTCTCTGGAATTGGCACTGGTGGTACAATTACTGGAGTAGGGAAGTATCTGAGAGAGCAGAATCCTGATATCAAGGTTAGTTAGATATCATCATGTCTTGTCTTACATCCTTTCCTGCATGTGATATTTAACGAATGTTCTTTCCTTTTTCTAGCTTTATGGCGTCGAACCTGTTGAAAGTGCAGTTTTATCTGGTGGAAAGCCAGGTGAATTCTTGCTTGATTTCTTCTTTGTTCTTTGTATTTCATTTTCATTTGTTTTGTTGGATCAATCATCAAGATAGAAATGCGCCGCCAACTCGTTACTTATCATGGATAATTAAAAAGGCCTCTTGTTATATTTAAAATTTGTCAATTTTTGCTAATATGTACTAGCTCCTTCTATTAGCATATTGCCTCTCAGTCCTTAAACTTCTGATGACCTGGTTAGGAGAACAGATGATTTAGATCCGGCTTTGAGGTAGACCTAAAAACTTGGTTAGAAAGTATTAGAAATGACCTTTGTTTATTAAATTTAAATGAGAATTTGACTCTTTATAGGATACAATGGAGAAAAATGATTCATGCAGTCGACATCATGTGGTGGGATAAAGGCTTGATGTTGTTGTTGTTGTTGGTGGTGGTGGATGAAAAATATGTGGTTTCTATTAACTTTTATATAGTTTAATTTATGCAGTTTGATTTCTTTGGTTTCTGTTAACTTCTATATCTAATTTGGTATGTGGTTCAATTACTTAGTTATTTTTGGAAGCTATCTTGCCAGAAAGGGGACTTTATTACTTGCAAATTGCAAAAAGAGAAGAGAGTGCACTAATATTTAGTATATTTGAACTTTCAGCCTGCTCTCTCTTCTATCAACTTCCAAAACTCTCTTTTGTTATGGTCAAACACTTAAGGGTTTATTTGGGATAGTTGTAATTTGTAAAAGTAGCTGCAAAATTGTTGTGTGAAAAATATATATATTTTTTAAAATTGTTGTGGATATTATAGACATTTTTCTCTTTTGAAAAAGTCAGGCAATAGTTTTCTTACAACTACTATATTCCAGCAAATATGTTTGCTAAAAACTCTGGCTATTCTGTCTTTTTCGGCTTTTTGGTGATTCCCTGTATAGTGTAATTTAAGAAAATATAGTATAATAGAGTATATTATAGTGTAATATTGTACAATAGAGTAAGATATGACATAATTATATTATAGTATGTTGTAGTATGTTATATATGTTTTAGTGTTCATTAGTGTATATTATAGGAAGTTATAGTACAATAAGTAATAATATATTACAGTATAATAGTTGGTATAGCTTAGTGTAGCATAATAGAATATATCATATTATTTTTTGGTTCGGTATGGTATGATAGATTATAATATAGTGTAATTTAGTATGTTTTAGTGTAGTGTAATATAATATAGTACCTCGCAGTGAAGTTCACAATGTTATAAATTAGTAAAGCGTTGATTTGAAGTCTAAGATGATTAAGCTTGACTGAATTCATGTTAGGCTCTGGGGCGTAGCACTGAAGGATTTCTTAGTGTGTCATTTGCAGTCAGAAAAGTGAAATAATTTTTTTTGAAAAGCAACAAGAAATCTATAGTCAAATAAAATTATGACATCTGTCTACTAAAAAACTGTAAAAAAAAAAAAAAAAATGCTGCAAAAAAAAAAAAGCTGCCCCAAACAGACCAGAATAATTTGTTACATGTCATTGCATTCTTTTGGATGTAATTTTCCATTTTTATACACGGGGATGGTCTAGCCTAGCACTTGTTTTTTTTTTTTAAGCATTTGCTATATTTTGGTGGTGACTAATATATTATTTAACGTGCAATTACAGACATGCAGCAGCTGCCTTTAACAAAGAAAGTTGGTTGATTTGAATTCTGATTATGTTAGCCTTTTGTTTTTCCTGGCTGCTTGGTTTCATTCTCTTTCTAAAATGTGTTTTCTGCTGATTTTCCTAAATAGTAAAAATAAATTTCATTTAAACAAACATCTACTTGGTGTTTTAAAAACAACTCTCGATAGAAAAGCACTAAATTGGATAAAACTCAACAAATTGAAGCTTCATTTGGGTAGCCTTTTTACTGCTTTTGTGGTAGGAAAGGCTTATAAAAAAATACATATAATTTTTTTCCTCGCTTTTCTTGATATTTGTTTCAGATAAGCTGTTTTTGAAAAAGCATAATAAAAATTGTTGTTGGGAGTTAGCTTTAAAAATTTTTTGATGATGCAAAAAAAAAAAAAAAAGGTCTTTGAGTTGTTATAAAAAGGAATCAGATTTGCAATGCATCTTCAAAACATCTAAGAATCCAAAAGAGTATGGACTTGCTTTTCAAAATGTTTTACAATACATATTTGATTTCTGCGAATGAAGCTGCTCCTATAATCAACTGTCCATGGCTGTGACATTGATTTCTATATTATTGAGATTTATGATGAGCTATTTTGCATCATATATAAGTATGATTGTCGATCTTTATGTTTTTTTGCATAAGATGCCACGAGTCATATTGAATTCAATGTCCTTCTATGTTATATATGTTTCAGGTCCTCACAAGATACAGGGAATTGGAGCTGGATTTATACCTGGTGTTTTGGATGTTGATCTTATTGATGAAGTTGTGCAGGTTAGACTTCAAACCATTTCGCACTTTTTTGGTTGGAAAGTAAGGTTCTTTAACATTGTTCGAGATGAGGGAACATGAAAAGTGGGGTTTTTATAGCTCTTACAGAACTTTAGTGTTTTAGCTGTATTTAGAACGGATCCTTTAGTTATATTTTTTGTTTGAGCTTGCTATTATATATTCCATATTGTTATTTTTGCTTTAATGTTACTTTTTTTTTTTAATGCCTTAATCTTTATCTGGCTGCCACATGTTTTAGCTGTACAGTTTAGGCACATCAAAAGAGGTGGTAAAGTGGGTGTGTGATAGCACTTTAGAATTTCCTTTAGAGAATTTCTTCAACTCAAATTCGCATAGAAAACACTTGGAAGATGATGATAGGAAACACTTGGATTTCCGAGTGTTTCTCACCAACACCCAGCAGATCTAGGAGAAAAACTGCTGTCCACAGCAGAAAATCAGCCCAAAAACAGTGAAATCTGAGAGAAATAGGGAGAAATCCTTGGAAAACAATAGAAACGATTGTATTCCACTAGTAGACAAACAAAACCAAAGCAAGATACAATGTTATTCAATT